GTACTGATGATGGCAACAATGTTGTATGGAATTTGAGGGTTGCTTGAAGTACCCACAGCAGATGTATTGTGCAAATAAACAGCAGCACTGGGAAGAGGGTCCATTTCCTGAGTTGACAGTTACCTCTTTAGTTTAGTCATCATAACCACTTTAAGGTAAAAAGGACACATCAGTTAATTGAGGAGGTCTTTTTAAGAACCGAGTTGATGATCACTTCTCTTCATCATCGACAGGTGCAGATGATCAAAATGACGGAGACACATGAGGGCCAGAACCAAAGTGACAGATGACATTATACCTTCAAAATAAAACAGAAAACAAATGAGCTAAGGTTAACTTTTTGTTAGAGGTGATTTTCTTTTTGTTTCTTGAGTTTCTGGCAGTTGAATGTGTTATCTGAATCTGCATGGATGACTCAGACCTGGTTGTTTTTCAGCAAAAGAAAGACCCAGAATGCAGCCTACAGTATTGATTGCAATTTGCGTCATACACTCTCTCACCCTGTTTCATAAATATCTGATTTAGTTTAGTGGAAAAAGCTCTCTGTATCCCATCGTAATTCATTTGTCTATATGCTCTGCTCCAGGTGTGAGTGAGCAAATGTGTGATCAAGTGAATAAGTGAATAAGGGAATTGGAGCATAGCGAGTGATCCAACCTTGGAGACATCTCAAGCTGCTGTCTGCCATCTCTTCCCTGCCCTTTTTTTCCTGATTCGTTTCTCGTTTTTCGTCTTATTTTCTCCACTCTATTCTTCCCTTTCTACCCCGGTGTTATAATCTCCCGCGCTGCTGGCAAATCTGGCTCAGGGTACCCATGGGCTGTGTTTATCCTGAGCTCCAGGCTCCCTAGGCGAGGGAGAGAGAAATCCCCCACCAAGCCTCACTGCAGGTTCACCGGAGGTTCCCATAGCTTCACTGCGTGCCGCCCCGCAGCGCACAGTTAGCACTGACCTAAAGAACAGAAAAAATCATGACGGATGATGGATAGGTTGATTATATATAGGACTGTGAATCTATACCTCCCCTTGAGTTAAGATAATCTATAAGACTTTTGAGTGCATGATGGAAAAGCTAATGCCGCCAATTCCCCAGTGGCAGCTTTCTGGAAGGATTATTAGTGTTTGAATGTGTGCAAATACACAGAGACAGAGGGTTAATTTAAGTATTTGTTCTTTCAATCTTGTATTCTCACTTATTATAAAAGTTGTGGGAAAGCATTTTTTCATTCTGTCTTTACAGAAATATCCCTGCAGTTACATAAGGCGTCACAACAAGCAACACCACCACACTTCCCCCTCTTTGTGGCTACAGGGTTGCCAGGCAACTCCGAGAACGTCTGCCTGCTGCTGCCCTGCAACCCTTTGTGGACACCTCGACAACCCCCCCCCACTCACACATGTATGTTTAAATCACCTGTTCTCTTCCCAAGTGTTTTCATCAGATGTAAAGAAGAGTTACAGCTCTCTTATATGTGTTTAGTTAAGCTGATGATGCTGCCAAAAGGAGAAGTCTGAAAAGAGAACAGAAACTTTTCTGGACATCAGATGACAGCGTTGGAGTTTCCCAACTAACTTCCTGGACAGAGACTTCCAAAGAAACTTTGGTGTCACTGAGGCTACATCTCAGTCTGTTTCTCTCTTTCTTTTTTTAGAAGTTGAATCTCTATGAAGTCATATTTCATTGTGTCTGCCATCCCTCCTGACCTTCTTGCCAACAGATAGGAGTCAACAATTATCTGATGCAAAGTATAAATGAAAGATGGGTGATTATTAACAGGAAACACAAAGGGAAGACTATTATACATCATGTTGCTGAGCACACAGAACTTGCATGAGTTCCCATACTGTTTGTGGTCACTGTTTGTCAGGCGGACGTGACTTCAGCCAATTTAGCTTTTCCTTTTAGTGAATGAGATGAATTACAACAACAATCAAGTGGCATTCAGACTAAAACTCATGCTGACAAGGCTTCTAGCTGCTTGAATGGTGCAGATTATAATATTTTTTACATCAAGAAGTTTTGATCCTACAAGTATGATCGAAACTTGCACACAGTGTAAACATGGATAATCAAATAGTAATCGTAATCTCAGTGACTCACAAATTTCTGAAGATGTGTTATGGCACCCAAAGGTGGAGGTTGCCATATTCAAACTACAGTAGCTTTGATTAACTTAGAAAGAAGTGGTTTTGAGTCCATAGCCTTGCAGCCTGGCAAACTGTCGATCCATCTAGCAAAGGCCATAACTGAGCACGGTTTACACCTTCAACTATGAGATGATGTCTCTTCTGATGATTTTCTCATCAGTCAGTGAGCTGAGAATGACCACAATTAATCACAATACTCAGATTTGTATGATTTACAGACTGGAATACATGATCACGACTATTGAGCTTTCCACCCTGACAGTGAGGTCACTGACATCACAGGGAGATGGCTCCCATGGGAATATGGTTTATTTATCTCCAAATTGTTAGGGACCTAAAAGTTCTTGTACCAGATGGTATATACAATAAATTCTCCTGTAAAACTGTCATTTGATATTATGGGCTCCAACGGGTTTCATTGGTTTTAGCGGACGTCCAGGGAGGAGCAGTTTTTGCATTTCCATATTGGCTCAACTGGTAAACATTGCTATAACCAGTATCAAATCATTATGCTACATTTCACTTGAAACAACTCAAGGCTCTCTTTCAGGAGGCCCTTTATGCTGTTAATTGGACTTTAAATCTTTTTCTCTCAGCTAACACCACAGACTATGGTATACAACATCTGAGATCCAATCCAATGAAAACCCTGATGGCTTTGCCTGGATTTGATAGAAGTCATTAAGTGTAAACCATAGTATGAAGTTCTTGCATAACATTTTAAGTTAATGAAACAGACTTCGCTCATGTTTTCAATGTGTGGAGTACCTCAGATTCTAGACTTTTTAAGGTATGACTCATATCTAAAGAAAAATCCTTACTAGATGTTGTCTGACCACAATAATGTAGAATGACACATCTGTGCATTTATATGCAATGGGACCACTGTGATATTGTCAGAGTATGCAGTTCATAAAGCAATTGATAAAGTAAGTCAAAACAAAATAAATGTAAATTCAATTCAATTAAAAACTCTATTCAAGTAGACTGTAGGTAATGCACGTCTTTCACTTATGTATTGATACAAAACATGGAATTTCCCTGTGTGTTAGCCAACATAAGCTAAGCTAATATTGCTTCCCTATTCCCACTAAAACAGCCCAGTGTGCTGTCTGACTCTCTTCTCTGAAATGGAGTGTAGGCCTCCATATCCACACAAAACATTCACTGTCTCTCTTCAAAATGGATTATTATGGTCTTGGAAATGGATGCACACTGGACATCCTCTGTATGGTGGGTGCAGGTGCAGAGACACTGTGTGTATGGTAAACAGAGACAGCCCTTATAGCCCTGACTAGATGCAGAATCACACAACAAACCTTGTCTCAAGCCAGAGATATAAACAGTCTGAGCTTATGCCATGTCAAACTTGGCACAGATGGTGAAGCATGGAGGGTTTTTAACACTGTAACTTGCAGAATGTAATATTTTAATTTTACCAAAACACTGGAAAAAAAAAACAGTGCAGTAATATGAGCTCGATGTCTTTTGTAGTCAAAATGAAAAGCTGAGTAGAGAGAGAAAAGGGTGCTTAAAATTCTGGGGGATACAGATCAAAATAAGGGGCTTCAATGCAGCAATGAGGTGCACTCTTTCACGGTTTGCCTTTAACACATTTTGCGTGTCATGTTGCCTTTGATTGGATTTCATTGTTTGAAGAACTCAAGCTGAATCCATGATTACCCATACTTTCTTAAAGGGGATGTCTTTTGTTGAAAAGACAAAGTAAAATACTGATGATTGTGTTGCTTATTTGCCTTTTCCTGCTGCTTTGTACAGAACAATTTAATTAAAGAGACAACTATCCTACTATTGACGTTATTATTGGGATAAATGACTCATACTCCAATCTTTACAGTGTGTAGGTTTGTTTGAAATGCCTCTAGTAGATTCAAGCTCACACCTAACCAGTCTTCTAACTTCAAACAAATCGGTCAGCTGCCGGGCGGCTACACTAACTGACCTTTCAATAGGTTGTCGGAGCTCATTTCGAGCACCAACCTTCTCTCCTTGCAGTAGGAGTGGAAACTGGAGCAAATTCCCATAATAGGAGAGGGGCTTTTGTGAGGAAATGGAATTGAACAAGCTGTCTAGTAGTTCAGTCCTTTATTGATTCAATGCCCAGGGCTGTTGAACTGTGCAAACCTACAGAATGGACTCAAGACTTGAACTGGTACTGTTTGTTTCCAAGACTTAACTGACTGACAATTTTTTGTTGAACATGCTTTTAAACGGGCTAAAAATATAAATTGGTTTTCAGGCTCGTTATGGTGTTGTGGTTCTATTTTTATTTGAAAATGCTGACTCCATCCAGTCTGTGAGGACCGACCAAAGTGTGTGGGGATGCCAATTTAGCCCCCTATGCAATGCCATCAGTGCAAAAACACCCCAGTAAATGTGTTTTTAATCTACTTAATCAGATGACCAGATGACAATGACATTGCTTTTTCATCATTTGTGTGAGAATGTGTGTGTGTGTGTGTGTGAGTGTGTGGCTGTGTGTCAGCAGAGCAAGTGTGTACTTGTTGGGCTTAATGGATTTTTCTCCCAGGACTCCGATAAGCCCATCCCCGGAGTGCAGAATGCTTTCATTGCAGATTCCTATTCAGATTTTGAAGCAAATTTACGATCAAGGTAAAGCTCACCTGAGATTAAGATTTAGTGTAAACAGAAGCAGCTCCTTATTGCATTAGCAGCTGGTTTAAGGAATGTAAATATGACGAGATTTATTGTATTTATTAGACAGGCAGGCTAATTTGCAAAAAAGCTCTTCAAAGAGAGGCTGCGACACAGTGACTTTCTGCTTTAAAGGTTTGAAGTAGAGATGAAAAACCTGAGTCGAGTCGGGCCATACAGGTGTTTGTAACGACCTTCCCCCAACTCCCTCTGTATCTTGTTTTCCCCCCTTTTTTTGATCTTTCATCACTTATGTCAGGAACCCTGGTAAGGGTGCGGCTCACCACATTTTCACTACAAAGGCCTCCCTCTCTCCTCCCTCTGGAGCCTGCTTAAAAAGGATAATGGATTGAGATTGAGGTAGCAAAGTATGGGAAATAAGTATCCAGTGTCAAATCCCTGAGTTCAAATACCAACATGCTGGGCGTTTCCATGGTAATAAAGAAGGGAAACAGTGACTATTTGGAGAGGTACTGACAAACAATGAAGAGACATTCTAGAAGTCAAATCACTGTGATGCACGTGTTCTTAATGTGTGTTCAGTGTGACACTACAGCAAGGTATATATAAGCCAGAATTTGATTCTGCACATTTCTAGACAACCTTGGTAGTCGACAGAAAGCTTTTTCAAGCATTCAAGAGAAACAGATATCTATTCAACTTCCTTTCGCTATTAGCCATGGCACAATCAAGCTCTGTGATCATTTGTGAGATTCCTCTGATCACTTCTAAAACCCTGTGCCCACTGGTCCAGACCGCCTTAGAGAAGTTGAGCCCCACACAGTGGAGATTAATTGCATCTTAAGATTTAGACCCGCCGACCATGTTTGTACTGGAGGAAACCTGCATGAAAATCGTCTAGTCTGTCTCTACAGTCATCCTGAATGCTGTGATGCCTAAAGCCCAGCAGTACATCACCAGCAGCAAGACACAGGATGACTTATCACCTGATGTATTCAGAGTTTCTGAGGAACGCATCCACACCTTGCTGGGGGATTCAATTGCGCAGACCTTCAGCGAGATTTTCCAGGTCCAGGGTCAGGCCTGCATATTTCTGGACAACCTCTCCCAGCTGGTTACTGAAGAGGTAGCACTGAAGGTTAATTTCATCCTTTCTGTGGCCATCAAAACTCCTGTTTCTTCACTGCAGAAGCAAGCTTTTTTTGTTAGCAGCACCATTTCATGCATCAGCACTTTGGATGATATGGTAGTTTGCACAGCTGGAATATTAAGTCAATGCTTTGCAGAGCTTGACAGCAAGTTGAAACAACACCTGTGCTTGGAAGGATTTTCCAAGAAAACTATAATGGAAAGTGTGGATGAAGATAAGCCAAAGGCTGAAGCAGAGCCACATGAGGAGATGCTTGAAATAGTGGTGCCTTTTCATATGTCAAATTCACCACATGAACCTCAAGAAGAGTTTGCATCAGGTTTACCCACTTCCTCTGTGGAAGACATCTATCTGGACCAAGATCTGCCAGAAACCCAGAAGTCGACTGTTTCTTCTCTAAGAGTGTTCAAGGAGAAGTTAATGTCTGATAGTTTTGTCTATGCGGATTCGAAAGCTGTGAGCTCCGTCCTTGCAAAGAAGTTCATGAACAGCAACAAATCTGGCTCCAGCTGTACTGAGAATGCATCAGAGACTAGTAAAAAGAGGTAAAAAGTAGTTATCAAGGTTTTGCAGACGTTTTCCAAACAGCATTGAAAAGGAAAACTTTGCATATGATATCAGCTCTGTCATTAATATCTCAGGTAGTCTGAAAGTCACAAACGTCATGCACTATAAATGAAATTGCATCAACTAAGGTTTGAGCTCATTTGTCAAAAAGTTAATTATTATTGTGTCTAAATCTAAGTTTAACTGCATACTGAAATGAATGCATCAATATTACATCAACAAAGCAACCTTTACACTAAACAACCCAGGGTGTATACAGGATGCAATGTCTGCAGTAAAAAAATGAGTAAGAGAAGCTAAGGCTCAATGTTCAATTTTACTCAGAACTGTGTTTGAATTCTGGGGCATCACCCCCACAAAACTTGAACATTTTGTTAGCATCAACCCATCGACCCCGGATCATATCCTAACCTTGCTCTATTGCCCCAACAGGCCCAACCCATGCAGGCTCATAACATTGCTTCAGGCCATGTCAGTGATGAATTATTAAAAATGAGTGGTATTGCACATGAAATTAATATTCAGACATTTTCTATTTTCCCCTGTCAGCTCTCTCTCCCCCTCTCTCTCCCTCTTGCTGGCTATCTGTTATTTTGGTAATGATCTGTATTCCTGAGGCATTAGGTTGGTCAGAGCTGGTGCCCACTGGTGCAACGTGCCACGCATGCTGAGTGATTCCAGACTGGGCTGCTCTGTTATTTCTTATCCCCTGCTTTACTGGCAGGTGATTTCTCTCTCTTTCTGCAACTTCAAATATCCTCCACTCCATCTGAAATCACATCTGCTCTTTTCATTACTTACTTCACATTCCTACAGTTGTTCTAACTGGTCAGGTTATATGATACTTGCACTGCACGCTCCAGCCCATCAAGCATTTAGAGGAAGACACAGCTCAGCAGTAAGCACAGTTCAGTGACTCAATAAATTATGCATCAAAAACACATCTATTAGAATTACACTTGTGAGGTTTCAGTGAGAGCTGCATGTCTTGAATTTCAAACAGAATGGCTCCCCCTAGTGGCACAGACCGTTATTAAGTCTAGTTGGATAATGATAATAAATATGAAAACCTTGCACTTTTCAGGTTTCTCTGTAAAGTAGAACCTTATGACACAACTGCACAGACTAACTCACAGTTTATTTCCACTTGCACTCTCTCTGATTTTGCAATACTGCACTGAATCAACAGTTCACAGTCAGCTCTTGGGCATTAAACAGGTGCTTTAAATAAAAAAAGGAATGTACCATTGAGAACAATTGTCTTCAAAATATATCATGCAGTGTATTTCTTTCCATGTAACTACACTGCCTGTGTTACTGTGTCAACCTAAAACACCCCAGCTTCACACATTATAAATTATTCAGGCTTGATGCTGCAAACAGAGCAGCATTTCTGTCTTTGCACTGTGCCTGCAGGGCTCCATCCATACACAGCCCTTTTCTTGAAATGAGCAGTGTTACAGTAGGCCATTTGAGGGTAAGAGCGTGCATGTATCTCCATGCAAAAGGCAAAAAATAAAAAATATTGTATACCTTTGCAGTAGCAAGTGTGCAAAAGAAGCTGATTATTGGCAGGTTTTTGATTATATAATGTTTTTTTTGGTATACTCTGCCATCTCTGTACACGCTGATGTCTGGTTTGTTCACTAGACTCACACATTTCACAATAGTTTTTTTTCTCTTTTTTTGTCATAATGAAGGGTTGTGTGGGCAGTTTAGTAGGGAGCTTTCTGTACTTTGCTTAGTCAAGATTTCAACTTTTCAATCCTGCTAAGATTTGCCAGTGCCTGCTGGAAAGAAAAAGCTGATTTTATTCACTTTTGCTAATTGTTTTTTTTTTTTTTGTAGTATGTTAAATTCCCAGAGCCTTTCTGGTGGTCTGAAGTTTCTGTCTTGGCAGGATGTTGTAGAAAACTCTTCTTTTGGCAGGACCATTTGGTGAAGTAAAGATTGAAAAACTGTCTGTGTGTTTTTCAGTCTGCCCACATCCTTGGAGTGTTTGTAGATCAAGGGAGCTGCTAATCAAAAAATACGATCTTTACTGACAGCCACACATTAAAAATATGCGTTATCAATTAGCTACATTTAAAAAAGAGGAAAACCAAACATCAGAACTAGTGTGTGGGTGAAAGTGGGAGTGCAGAAGACAAATCTGGAAACCTTCTTATAGTCGAACACGATGTGCATGAAAAAAAGACAGTCAGCTTTGAATGCTGCGAGCCTGAATTCTGCTGTTTGTCAGGTCTGAGCTGGCAGGAACACTGTTGACAGTTGGGCCGTGGGAATGGCAGCCAGGAGGCTGCATCTGTGAGATTTTCCACTTGTATAAGACAGAATGAACTATTTCTGTCATTTTGAGCAAAGTGCAGAAAGACTGAAATAATACGAGCCAGAAAACGGATTTCCACAGGATTTTCCATCAACTCCAAACTCTGCAATTCTGCCAAATCAGAATGAATTTTATGAATATTTGTTGTGACAGACAAATGAGGTGGCAGGACTATTAAGCATTAATTTTATCGAAATTATTTTTCATAGTCCTGTATTTGAAAAATGGACTGGTAAAAAAAAAAAACTTAAGAGTTGATTCACTGCATCCACTCATTTGCACTTAATTCACAAAACAGAAGCTTTTGCATGTTATAAATGATCAGAAGTAAAGAAGTTGAACACTATATGAAATGAATATCAATTAATAATAACAGGAAGAAAAGGGTGAAACTTCACTTTAAAGTATATCATAAACTTTAGAATTATATATCTGAAACTGTGCCAAAACAACACTGCTTGTATTGTAAGACTTAAGACCTTGATATTCGAACATGATGTATGGCACAAACAGTATACTGTTCCAGGAAGCTGTCATGTCATTGATTTGTCCTGCAAAAATGCAAAATACTCATACTCTCCACAGCCAAGTTCAATACAACAGTTCTGATAGGACCTCTAAGGAATCTTTGTGTATCATAACATGGGAATTGCACACATGACTTATTAAACTGAAAAAAATAAAATAAATTATAAACAAGCTACTTATTTACACACCTTTATCCTACAAATAAATTTTTCAGCTCACGACATTTATTCCTTAGTCTGATGTTTTAGATGCTCTTGCCACTATCTGCAGCAGGAGTGTGAAACTGACGTCTGCTAGTCTGAATTGATTGTGTTTTGCAACAGTAGTCTAGATAAAATCCAAACTCCTACTACCTCTGTAAATAAAACTCTTTGTCCTTTTCTCTTTCCAATTCACACCATTCACAATGATGTGTACGTACACCTTGACAGAAGAATAACACCACTATTACACTTTCACTTCGTTGTGTTTTTTGACACTTAGTATCAATTCTTATTACCCGGTAGCTACAAAACTATGCTGTTTAAGTCCACTGCATGTGCACGGAAGTAGACTGCATTCTTTGGATAGTCTCCATCTCAGGTATACTGCCAGTTGATGCAATTTGTTGCAACCACCTAAGCAATAGTTTAGATAGTGCACTTGAGGTTTGTTATTCTACAATATTAAATCCTTATTATTTTGTTCCCCTTAATAGAGCTGAAATAGTTCTAGGTATATTCTGCAGTCTTAATAAACAATGCTTTTTAAATGTCATACTGCTGTTGCCTTATGTGTTTTTGGCACGGGATCTGGTGCGTTTTTTCCTGATATATCACACAAGACTGCATTAGATTCCAAGCAGTTACATCACTGTCGCTTTTGGAGCACAGATGCGTAAAATGTCAACACCGCCAGCATCACACAGCTATATCATGGCATTAATAACAGTTTCACAGGATCTGTATGACAGCAAGCTGACGGCTATTATGCAGCAGGGAGTCTTATCATGTCATCTACACAAAGACAACACACAAAGCTCATAGCTTCAGAACAGGAGTAACAACCTTTGAATTAGTAATATTTGCTATTAGTTATTGGAGACTTAATCCAAGTATTCTATTAATGTGGAGAACAACAGGACTCTCCTGTGTGTTATAAGCAAAATCTTGCATCCAAAGGATTGAGGTGAACCCATAACACAGAATGGGCTTTTGAAACACTAAAAGTCTGCTTTTATAATACAGATATGATAAATATAATCTGTCAAGTAGAAATGAGGGGATCTTAATATCACTATACTCTGCCTTGGTTTGTTAGAGGGATATTCTAATGTAAAATTAATTTAGGGTCAAACACACCGTAACACCGAGTTAGACACCCCCTTGAGAGATGAATGTTGCCGACCGCTTGCTTCTCTAGTTTAACCAACTTTAGTAATGACCGCAGGATAGCAATACACAGTGGTCTAAGGAGCCATACACAAACCTCAACCAAAAAACCACTCTATAGCCACAAATAAGCCACAAATGAGCTGAGTTACTCTGTAGCAGTCCGTAATGGACTGGCCCTGAAGTCTCGCTACAAACAAGCGGCTGCTGGAAGAGTGTAGGTGAGTTGTGTTTAGTCTCTTTGCTAAAGAAATTAGGCAAAGCTAAAAAGATGTTTGATGGCTAGTGCTGTGGCTAGGATCCTATATGAACTGTTGATGAAGTTAGCTGCTGTTCTGAGCATTATTTGTGGCTATAGAGTGGAGTTTTGGTTGAGGTTTGTGTTTGGCTCCTGAGACTGCTGTGTATTGCTGTCGTACGGTCATTACTAAAGTTGGTATAACTAGAGAAGCAAGCAGTTGGCAACATTCATCTCATGAAGGGGGTGTCTAACTTGGTGTTACGGTATGTTTCACCCTAAATAAATTTTACACTGGAGTATCCCTTTAAGCTTTATATTGTGGCATTGTCTTTTACTCAACTCCACATTATGGGTATAGGAGACAGTCACACATTGTACTTCAGGTGACCATATTTTTGTATTTACTCATCAGCCATGCAGTGAATAGCTACATAACATGTATAAGGGTAGGTTTAGGCTGATTTCCCTTCATTGATATCAGTGTATCTCGCTACTTATCCCAGCCATTGCTTTCAAACAGCTGTAGTTCATGTGTTACCACGTCCTCACATTTGGAGAGTAATGACAGATACACGTTTCTCCAAAACAACCAAAGAGCATAGTGACCACGTTTCTGTGCACTGCGTCACGCGCGAACACACGCGATGTCTGTTCTTCTTCCCGGATTGGTCGGAGATGCCGGGAAACCTCCTCGTGATATGTCTGCCGGTATAAATACCCGGAGCCGCCCTCTCCATACGCAGCCCTGGTTTATGAGGGAAAATGTATCGTCTCGGCCAACAGACTCTCTCCAAGATCGCTTTCAATTCCTTTTTATCTGCTGTGCCGCGGGAATATTTTCATTTTACGAGACATTACAATAAAAGCTGGTCGTGTATTGGCTGAGTTTTGATCAAATTTGATAGTTATCTGCACGAAAATGCCGAGGACCAAGAAGAAGAACAGCAGGGGTAAGTAAGCGGGCGGTCGCATTGCTTTGGCCTTGCTGGTGTGTCTTTCCCACGCTTGCGGTAGTTGTAGTTCTTTACGTGTTGTCGGCGCGTTGACTGTAGTTGAACGTGTTGACGGGGAGGACTACAAACGTCAGAGGCTGGCCTACGTCAAAATACGAAGCTAGCTAGCCTTTATGACACAAAGCCTTGGCGTTGCTAGGAAAAACGTGGTTCGTGACTCAAAGTTACCTCAAATATTTATTTTATAAATATCATTTCAATGTCTAATAATTTAATCGGTATTTAATTTGAGCTCGTGACTATCGCCTGGCAAGTGCTAACGTTAGCCGTACTAGCACTGCACTAGCGAGCTTCGGCTTCAGATGCTAGTTATTTTTGAACATGATAACGTGAAACACGATGAGTGGCACCGGTTAGAGAGCTTGAACTGTACACATTACCTCGATATTAACCTATATTACACATTATTTCTTCCGTTGTAAAGAAACGATGTCAGCCTGAACTCGATAGTGAGGTCGTGTTGTCAGCAGATTGACCTCAATTAATCTTAAACCCGAATATGCTGTCGACGTCACGGTACTCAGTCAGACGGCTGTTGTGTGACCCTGGACTGGGAATGTAAAGCTGGGACGTGTTTTGTGTGATGGTTGTTGTCGGTATTTTATTGTCAAGCGACCGGAGGCGGACATTTTGGACTCTGGAGAAAGCAGGTTGTAAAACAGGCGGCGTCCGGTTCTCAGGAATCAGCTGTGGGGAGAGTCCACGTCAACACAGTTAAAGGAAATAACCAGGGTTAGGTGGAAAACGGCACTCTTATCATCAGCTGACAGGGATTCCTGTAACATTTATCATGATCTGAGACAGTCACATCTGACCCTCGTTGTTCCCTCAGTATTTAACTTGCCAAATATATCCCTCAGAGGTAACTTCAGGTCAGGCTTCAGACGCCTGTTGTGTCTGGATACATTTAGCCAGCATTCAAGAACTTTCCCCTACACATGGAGTATTTAAGGAAAGGGTTTCATAACAAGTCCACTTATTGTTTCTGTTCTTTTAAAATCTTAACACATACACTCTCAACATCCTTTGAGCTGTGATTTTTTACAACCTCCTACACATGTTATTTGCTAAAGCACCCATGAGATATGTATTTGATTGGCAACCTGTTTTATTTGTTTACGCTTGACAGCTATTTAGCTTTACCTACTAAGATGTCTGTAGTCTCTGGGCAGGAGACAGAAACAACGCCTCTGCAAAACACAAAGTACATTCAAAACAGCTAAACAACAATACATAACCACAATACAACAACCTCAGGTACTCCAACAGAGACTTTGATTATAAAAGAGTTCCTTCCAAGTCCAGTCTATTTGTAGAGCCAAGTGTTTACAGGATGATGTTTACTCATAGGTTTTAAAACTTTAAGTTAGAAAAGATCATTTGCTTCCTTGTTCATTCCCGTGATGTGATTTCCTGGCATGGATGAATCGCTGAGGTTTTTGTTTGAGCAGTCAACATTACAGTGCCCTTGTCCCTGAGAGCACTTGGTCATTATTCATGAGATAATAAAAGTCTAGCTGGATAAGGTGTGCAAAGGGCGCACATTAGATAAGTGTGGTGTCTGTTCCAGCACCTGCATGGAGCTGGTGTTACATAACAAACACGCACAGGCCTGTTGCTTAGTTTTGTGGCATTTGATAAGACTGATTTATACTTCTGTCTTTTTTTTTTTTTTTAATTTTACTAGGAGGGCAGCATGGACATGTGCAGCCTTTCAGTGATGAGGATGCCTCCATTGAGACCCTCAGTCATTGCAGCAGCTTCAGTGACATCACGAGTGTAGCAGATGACGGTGAGTGTGTGTGTGTGTGTTTTTATTTCCATTATTCTTTGAGTTTACTCCTCCGCGACGCAGTGGGTGTTTCTGCATGTGTGTTTTTTATAGTTTGTGTGTACATCATCCACAAGGAATGTAGTGTAGACGCCTTGCTCAAACTTTGGTTTGAATTTTGCTGCTAAGCTACTTATTGTTGGGCTAACATTAAAGTAAAAACCACAGCTTTTTTCTTGATTCAATAAAACCTTTAAGTTTTTAAAAACCTACCAAGATAAGTGCAGACTTTTCAGTTCAGACAGAGTGAAGCTCTACACATGAATATCTACTCACTAAATCTTGTGTTGGTGCCAGGTGGAGAGGCCAATGAGGACTCAGCCCAGGAGGATTTCCAGTACAAGTTGAAAGGGTTCATAGACAGCACGGTGGATAAAAGGTAATAAAAAGTAGTGCCTGCTTTTCAGCTTTTTTTAAAACACATGTTTTAAGATTGTAGGTATGCAGAGTGTAACATGTCTATGCAGAGTTTTACCTGCAGGTTCGACATTGAGTATTCAAATTTGAGTGTCTTCTTTTCAACGTCAAGGGACAGCAAAGCCTGAGTTTGAGCAGTCTTGCAGGCAATACTTTGGCAATGTTGGTTTAAATTCCTGTTACAGGAACAGTGTTATGTAACTGACACGTATGAGCTCTTCACACAAAGAGCCTCCAAAAACAAATATTTACAGCATGAGTAAGATGATTTTAAAACGCTTCTGTGGTGAGTAGCTTGAGTTGACAAAGCCACTGTCAGCCGCACAAAACGGGTACCTGCTGCCCAGCCAAATTTAAAGATAGACTAATCCCTGAAAAGGTGAATCATGGTAGATGTGATAAATGTGTCTATATTAAAGTGGGGATTCCCCAGCAGTGCCGATGACATGATGTAATGATTTTTTAGCTTATGCCTATGACGAGGGTTTGAAAATATGTAACTGAATAGATTGAAGAAAAAAAAATCATCTTAAAATACCACTTTTTCTTAGTAATTGAGGATTATTACGTCTGGATTTTATTCCAAAATTGATATTTTACTTTTATACAAGTTTGTCAAGTTGCAGATGTGTCATTGATAGAACTTACACTGCAAATGTATCTCGACTGTGTTAGTCAGTTTAGTCATACAGACTATAAGTGAGACATAGAAGCCAGGCAGCTCATTAAGCAGGTATTTATGGTATAGTTATGGTCATAAGTAATAACAATTTTCTATGAACTTGTTTTCTCAGTGCTAAGACCAGACAAGGGGCACTGGATGGGCTTAAGACGGCAATGGCTACACGGATCCTGTATGAGTTCATCTCCGAAAGAAGGATGACCATCACAGACAGCATTGAACGCTGCCTGAAAAAAGGTACAGACAGTTTAACAGTCTGCTGCTGTCGTAGTAAACTTGTCAGATGTTTTTTTCTAAGAGGATGTGATCATGTTTATAGCATCAAATTAATGCCTACTCAGATGTCTTCTGAAACCGATGTAAAAATGACATGCCCACCTTTGTCTCTGCCAGGTAAAGGTGACGAGCAGCGAGCAGCAGCTTCTTTAGCCTGCCTGCTCTGTATCCAGCTGGGCTCGGGCATCGAGAGTGAGGAGGTGTTCAAGACCTTGAAACCCATCTTCAAAAACATCCTGGCAGATGGATCTGCAAACATTCAAGCCAGACAGGCAGTGAGTAACTAGTTTTTGGAGCCAAGACGATACATGTGAAGACTATTGGATTAACTACTACACAGTATCTGTCACTGTACAGATGTCTTGATTTTCCTTAAACCTGTTTATATTAAAGAAAACAAATCTCTCTGTTTGTCTCATAGGTGGCTACAAGTCTGGGCCTCTGTACTCTGGTTGCAGAAGATGACATTTTGGTGAGTTCTTCTTCCTATCATGTCTGTTTGTTTTACACGTCAATTACAGTCATGTGACCTGAACAACCTCTAAAGTCATCTGTTTCAACTTGTTATCAGTGTTTCATTCAGTCTTTAAGATTTGATCAACAGTTGAGCTCACATGCTTCAGGCAGTTGATTAAACATTTTACTCTTGATGATAGAAGTTGAGGTTAGCTTAAACACACACTCTGCTTTGAAAACTCATTTTTTTGTCCTGTCTACTTCCTGCTTTAGGATGTGCATGCCACCATGGAGTGCTTTGAGAACCTGTTCACCCGGTCCTATGCTAGAGCGGATGGTACGTGTCCTTCGGTGAATCCTCAGACAAGCGCGCTCCACACCAACGCGCTCCTGTCCTGGGCACTGCTGCTCACCATCTGTACCGCCAACCAGCTTAGAGACATCCTGCGCAAGTAAGACCCCTTTTTAAAACTAAATGTCATCATCAAAAGTTTAACTTTGTTTGAAAATTGTTTTATTTATCTGCAAACCAAATAGGATATGAATTTATATATATTTTTTTCTTGTTTGTTTTGCAGACACCTGCCTAAACTGCCACGATTGTTGGAAAGTGAGGATGTCAACATGAGGATTGCTGCAGGGGAGACAATCGCCCTGCTCTTTGAGCTGGCCAGAGACATGGATGCTGTAAGTCTAAATCATTCAGTGTTATATAATCAATATGCTTTCATTCCTGAGGTACAACGCAGTCCACCGTCATGACGAAAAAAGACAGAAATTATAGTCCCTATTACAGCTAACAACAGTAATTTCATCCTGAATTGTATGCTGACTCGACAGTTGGACTTGATTTTGATAGGCGGTTTCTTGGCATATACATCTTTTTTCTTTCTGTGGACTGATGCTTGCCTTTTTTCAGTCATAAACGGTATTATTTATATCGTTTGTCTCTTACAGGATTTTGAATTTGATGGCTGGGATGAACTGTGCGACAAACTAAACGCATTGGCCACAGACTGCAACAAACACAGAGCCAAGACAGACAAGAGGAAGCAGAGGTCTGTGTTCAGGGACGTGCTTAAGGCTGTTGAGGTGGGTTTAAGTGGCAGTGAGCTGCAGTTCTGTGTCCTTTTTTTTTTTTTTTTTGTAGATGTTTTTAAATTTTTAGATACTTTTTTCCCCTTCTGTTATGGATGGCTTAGAGTGAGTCCTTTTTTTTTTTTTGTTTTGATCCTCCAGGAGGGGGACTTCCAGACTGAGACAATCCGCTTTGGGACTGAGCGCATGACCATCGACAGCTGGGTTAGAAAGAGGACCTATGATGCCTTCAGGGAGTTTGTAGGCTCTGGGATGAACTACCACCTCCAGGTATATTTACTTCAAACTTCATCAGACTGCAGAACTACTACTACTTTAACTAGACTGCAGAATCTTGAGTTTGGGTTCAGTTTTTGGGGTTTTCTCCTGGACTGACACTGCCTAAAGCATTAGAAAATCTGTAGGTCTGCAAAGAGGAAACACTAGCGACTAGATTTGGGATGATGATGCATATTGTGAGGAAAAAGCCATTACAAGCATCTGGTTGGAAATTAGTCTGCATTATGGCTGGCGGCCAGCGCTAATGCAACATTTCACTTGTGAATATGAGACAATGGAACATATTTCAGCGGATGGAAAAACTCTAAACTATATGTAAATGTAGCTAGCTGATGCAGGTTATATATTGTGTCTGAGGATGATTTCTTATTGAAGTTTTTGTTTCTTTTAAAAGGGTAATGAATTCATCAGAGACGTGTTTGAACTGGGACCACCCATGCTGGTTGATTCAGCAACAATGAAGGCAATGAAGATATCTCGCTTTGAAAGGGTATCCACAACTACGATCCTTGTTATTTATTAAAAATAAGTTTGATACATTTTTTACACGTCTCATTTTTTCCTACTTTGTATTTACGTTTCTTTTTCTTCTTTTCCAGCATCTCCACAACTCTGCTGCATTCAAGGCTCGGACCAAAGCTAGGAGCAAGTTCAGGGACAAGAGGGTGGATGTTGGAGAATTTTAACCTTTTTTTTTTTTTTTCTTTTCTTTTTTTTTTTTGACACTAGTAACCTATTTATCAGGCCTCCCTGCTTTTTAGATGTTGCTTTCACACCTAACTCCCCTAAAATCTGTTTAGTATCAAACCCTGATAGTAGTGATGAAAAGCAGCTATGTCACAGACACCACTTTCAGACCTTCAGGAGGTGGGTGTTTGATGATGACATAGTTTGAGGTGGAGTCTAACTTAAATGTTTCCACACATGAACTGTGGTGTTGTACATAAAGTGTATATTTTTTTCTCTCATTAATATCTATTATGTGGCCTTTTTTGTTTTGAACATTTGTAATAAGTTATATAATTTTGCACAATGTAGTCCTCTTTAGTTAATAGCAATGTCAAACACATGTTTATGTTCTAACCCTTATATGAATTAGTATTGCGTTGCACTAGCTTGCTAACCTTTAGCGGGTTATTGCTGTAGAACAATGGTGAATATTGTGTGTCTCTTTTTGGTAATGGTTATGTGTGCTAAAGGGCAAAGATGGTAAGACAATAAACACTGAAAAGCTGTACAAACTGCGCCTCCTGTTGTCTCGACTTCAACATTCTCCAGGGTAAGAAAGCTTTAGAGAAGTAGTGACAGGAACCACCATTAAAAGAAGAAATGAGTTACGTAAACCAGATTTAAATGTTAACGGTTACACAGGTACATGAGAGATGGTGAGATTTTTAAATTATAAAGATTGAGTCACAAAGAACAGGAACTATACACCACATACAGGATAGTTTTGAGTGTGTCAGGAGGGATGTCAACAAGCACTATTTGTGTTACTCTTGCAGTTTGTGACTGATCTGTTTTCCACACTCCTTTTGTGTTATCCTTGTAGCAGCTCGTTTTTGGTTCTATGTCCAATTCTATTTGTCGTAAAGGGGAAGTACAAGTTCTGTTTATTTCTTCTTGAACGCAGTAAATGCTCTTCAAACCAAGGCGGCTGCAGCTCTCCTTTCTTGCATAGAGTCGGTCATAAAACCTCCACTGTACAGCACAGCTCAGCAAAGAAACAATAGAGCTACACTGGATGCAAAATATTATATTCTCCCTTGTTCCACCTGAAAGCGACCGGCTTTATGGAGCAGAGAAAAACAATCCAACAGCAGCCAGTATCACAAGAACAAAATAAATGTCACAAAGCTACAAACGGCTCCATCAATAAAATTGGCCTTCTGCCTAAAACTTGTCAAACGCAGACTTCTTGCAATTGATGCCTCCTTTCAGCAGCCTCATACACCTCAGGAGGAACAACACTACCTTCAGGAGAAAGAATCAGTGTTGAGCTGCTGCATTTTTCATGGCCTGTCTTAACTTTTACCTGCAGGATGCTGTTGTGAAGCAGTAACAGTGGAGTTTTACACCTGTATGTACTGCTTATAGACAGAAAGACAACACAACCTAACATGTAAATGTTAAATGCGCCTAAACTTGATAGAAATTTGCATTTTGAGTGAGCATTCATGCTTAAGCGAAGAATAATCAGGTTTAGTCTGGTGATTTTATCACCTTGTTTCATTCTGTACCCAACTGTGAGATATAATAACTCCTATTTAAAGCGAAGAATAATCAGGTTTAGTCTGGTATCTTTGATCACTGCTCTCATACTGTTTGGATCTACCGATTTTTTCCCTCTTTGTGTCACTTACAAGGCCCACATTCTGGGACACCATCTCAAATTCTGCTCTGTCATTTCCAATTTTCCTCAGGTCTATGAGAAGGAAGTGGTGGGTGGCTTGTCTGTAATTCTGAGGCACTCTGAGGCACTTTCAGGTTTCTTTCTGTGGACTGTAAGGCAAAAATCAGGTTTCAGCATCCTGATATTTTCATTAGACTAGTACAACCCCTTAAAGTTACTTGAGGGAACTTCACATCTTTTTCTGAATGGCTTCAACCTTTAAGTCTCTCCATATTTGTTCTCATTAGAAGGAAATCCTAAATAGATAATTTGAATATCCTGAAATTACAATGCTTTTTAATTACATCATTCCCCCACCAGGATTGTTATTTCTCAGCTTTAAAGATGTGGACTTTTTTAAAAAGTCATTAAAAAAATTTGATTTTTTAAAAATTCCCTCCTAATGGGAGAGAAAATGATTTTTAACCTGATCTAGTATTATAATATCAAATGACTGGATGATGGATTACTTTTAGCAAATGATAAAAAAACTGGTACAGGCTGTTTTGGGAGATGGTGCTTCTGGAATTCAAAGCCATTTGTTTAATGATCTGTTATATATGCTCATAATCTTGTTTTTATTATTATTTTGTTTTAGCTTGCCTTTGTAAAGTAAACTGAAATTAGTTTTGATTTCACTCTTGTAAATGTACAAATCATTTATCGTTATATGAAGTTTGTAAATCTGTGTTATTGAGCTGTTCGATAATTTGTTAAGCACTTTGGTGCTTCTGCAGATGCCACAGAGAGAGAATATAATCAAGTTTATCACAGAAAAAGTTCAACAGAGACAAGAGCACTCAGATATTAGCTCTTAATGACAATGTGAGTTTTAACTGTGTCTCCTAGGTGTTCGGTGCTAATCTGGAGGGGGCTGCACAAAAATAGGGGAATTCTCTGAGGACCTCTTTCTGCACTGGCAGCCATTCATTATGTTTTTATCCATTAACATGAGGTCCCTGTATACACTCAGTGCTCTTTGTTTATCCACAGTCCAGTTTTTGTTGCTTAAAGGGATATTCCAACGTAAAATTAATTTAAGGGTCGAACACACTGTAACACCGAGTTAGACACTCCATCAAGAGATTAATGCTCAGAACAGCACCTAACTTCATCAACAGTACATATAGGGTCCCAGCCACAGCACTAGCCACCAAACATCTTTTTAACTTTGTCTAATTTCTTTAGCAAAGAGACTAAACACAACTCACCTACTCTCTTCCAGCAGCCGCTTGTTTGTAGCGAGACCTCAGGCCAGTCCATTACGGACTACAGCGGAGTGACGCAGCTCAACGAAGAACACTTATGATTACTGCTTCATCATTTCCTTAAAGTAATAATCACCATATAAATCATTTTGCACTGCAGACACAGTAGTTCTTCTGCCTTAGCGTCTCCATCTGATTGCATTTCCATAAAGAAATGATTATAAATGTTTTTCCTTGAGCTGCATCACTCAGCTGTAGTCCGTAATGGCCTAGCCTGAGGTTTCGCTACAAACATGCGGCCGCTTGAAGAGAGTAGGTGAGTTGTGTTTAGTCTCTTTGCTAAAGAAATTAGGCAAAGTTAAAAGGATGTTTGGTGGCTAAGACTGAGGCTGGGACCCTATATGCACTGTTGATGAAGTTAGGTGCTGTTCTGAGCATTATTTGTGGCTATAGAGCGGTGTTTTGGTTGAGGTTTGTTTATGGCTCCTCAGACGGCCGTGTATTGCTATCATGTGATCGTTACTAAAGTTGGTATAACTAGAGAAGCAAGTGGTCAGCAACATTCATCTCTCCAGGGGGTGTCTAACTCGGTGCTACTGTGTGTTTGACCCGAAGCTAATTTTACGCAACCTAAGGCGCGGACAACTCTAAAAAGTATGTGTACATCAGTTCAGGGAGTAAAACTATGGAATGGGTTACCAGAAGAGATTAAAACAAGCAAAAACATTTATCATTTCAAAAAAATGTTTATAAAATTTAAACTTGAAGGATATGGACAAACCTTGGATGCATAAGGGCAGGTTAAGGGTCTTTGAAGGTTTTGTATTTCTGAGTATGACAGTTCTGATTCTGACTTTTCTCAATATTTATTTTACATTTGTTTGTTAATGTTTTTGTATTGTTTTGTTTTGTTTTGTTTTCTTTTTCTTTTATGTTATTAGGTACAAATGATGTACAGCAACCCATTTATGCTGTGTGATCAAATTGTCTGTATTATTTTCTGGTATTGTTTTTGCGGTTGTCTCTTCACACTGATTGATTGTAAGTGTCAAAGTGGCAATGGGGTAGGTTCCTTATAAGCCTTGGCTTCTTACCTATCCTTTTCGTATGTATATGTTTTGTCATTCATACAAAATAAACAATCAATCAATCTCCCTTTAAGGCAAAGAGCAGAAATAAAAAAGAAAGTAGTGAAACTCAACCAAAATGCACAGCTGCAATAGTTTACTCGGTGTGCTAACTTGCCCCAGCGCACTGAGGAGAAATGATATCTCTTTGTGGGAAAAATCAAAGCAAAGCAGTTTCTACTAAATACACATAGTTTAATTCACTGTTTATCCAATCATATTGTTAGCAGAAGCTTTAAATGTGATAAATCAGTGTTTACTTTCGACTCTACCACAAGATTTTGTGAAGCATGTGAATTAAAGTGTAGATATCTGGCTTGAAAACCTTCATCTCTCTGTAAATATAAGTTAACATCTGATTAGATCCTCTCTGTCCTTGATACAGTTAGAGAGGACTGTGGAGAATACTAATAGACTGTTGTTATTCATATTCATCACAGTCTGCCAGCAAGATAAAAAAAACCTCAATGCAATTAAGAGGGATAAATGAGGATCAAATGAATAACAAATCTGAGACGGTAGCTTCACCTTGATCAATAATTAGCTTCATTTGTGTGTCTTTATGCACTTTAGTGCCATCTGAAAGACTTGATATTTCCCCATTTTAATTGTCTTACTAATTTAACAGTTTCTTCTGGGTTGAGTATTGAGAACTATTTGTTGAGGCATTAAAATCTGTAATCATGGGGAGCAGGATTTGTATGTAGAAGCAATATAGCGCTTACATTTCTCATGCAATCTCTCATTAAGCTATACATGTCTTCTGATTTCTGATTTATTCTGATTTTAAGCCAATAGACCTTTCCACAGAAGCGTTTTCTGTCATGGTTAAAGTCAATGAATTGTAATTTCGCTTTGCGTTTGATTTGCTGCATTACAGAGGCACGCTCGTCATTGCCATGGCTGGTTAAACATCCCTTGTTGGGTTTACTTTTCCATTTATCGTGCCATGCATTGGCAGCAAAAAGGCCCCAAGCAAAATTACCAAGCATGTGTGACAATCATACACTCTCATGGTAGATTCAGGCCTGTTTATATCCCACACACACCCCTCACATGGATGCTTTCCAATAGCTAACCAGGTTAATGTATTTATTCCCATTGCATGCCTCTGACATCTAAGCAGCTGTTTCCACGCCATCTATTATAGATCAGCCTTTTTTTTTTTTTCAAATGTCTAATGTTTACACAAGAGTGACACCTACAAATTCCTCCCTTCTCCAATTTCTCCCTCCTTCATCTTCCTGGCTGGCCCAAGTTGCTCCCTGAAGCGAGGCCTTTACAGTGGCTATCATAATGAAAAATGGACAGAGAGATTAGTGGTACTTTGTCACAGAATGAGCGCTGCGTTTTTGATCCCAACACGCCGAGGGGCTTGTTGTTGTGACTGATAAAACGGCTGCTGCCTCTGATGACTGCAATTATGCTGCATACATATATCTAGAAAGTGATTTATCATCTGTGTCACTTTCTGGGGTGTCGATGTGCCACTTAATGACTACCATGCACTTAAAATTCCTCCAATGATTTGAGCTTTGATTTTCAGAAGATTTGCACTTGCTTACTATTTCTAGTAAACACTTTTTCAGAGCATGAGTTTTCTTGTGCCTCAAAAACCACCTCAGGTTGGCCTGCAGAATAAAAGTCTGTACTAAATCAGCTCACTGACTATATATGAAGATGATGAGTGATAGGTACCCACCATAAAAAAGTGAAGCCTATCTTGCGAAGTGGAGCCAAATTAAATCTGGTCTTGGCAAAAAAAAAGTTGTTCAGTGGTTGGTAGTCATCTGAATTTTGTTTACAATCAGTCTAAGTTGTGGAAAAAGCTCTCTCTTTTTATTTTGCTTCTTTGCTAGTAAACAGCTCCAGGCTTTAAAACCCAGTGGTTTTTATTCTTTTTCTTAACTCATGCTCCCACCAGTGACTTTCCATGAAGCAAAAAAGGAAAAACATGGGGATGTCTCCATGGTGTGAGTTCCTACAGTATTAGATTGATTTTATGTAGCCTACTTTTGAAGATTATTTTACTATAAATGGTTACCCTAGCAAAATGATGTCCAAATGTGCACTAAATTAACTGAGGATGACCTCTAAAAATAGTTGCTGATAGCTTGGTGTATGGCATGAGCCTTTATATATATATCCAAATATATTGGATAGTAATACAACAGTTTTGTCAGTCACAAAATTAAATGTCATGTTATCTCCTGCTTCATGTCTTGAGTTTCTTGTTTTGTACTTCTTATCTCTTGTTGAAGATCCTTCACTTCCTGCCCTCCTGTGTTCCCCGTGTCTGTGATAACCCTGTCTTATTGTCACCGCTCCCCAAAAGTCTGTTTCTCCTCTTTGCAGTTTAACCTGATCTTGATTTTTGGTGTTGGTGTTCCAGCCTTCATTCCTTGTGTTTAGTTTCTAGTTTTCTAAATCTTCCTTTTTGGACGCCTCTGTCTGTGTTGTTTGAACAAATATAATCTGTGTTGCACTAGAGCCCAACTTCTTGGTTCAGTTAAAAAAAATGACTTTGATAATTGATTTTTGTTGCCTTTTGTGTGTGTGTGTGTTGATATTTTTAATTGTAATCAGATTTTATTCAATAATAATGTGTCAAAAAAAATACTGTATTATTTTGGTTATTATATTGATTATGCGAGAGGGCCTCAGACCTGCAGGTTAAGCTTTTACATGGAGGAGATCCTGTATGTGTGGTGATTAATTTCCATCATGCAAGCTGATGACAATGGATGATTTTGGATATAAAGAAGCAAATTTAACCTCTGTTTAGAAAAAAACACTGAAGCTCTTAAAGATCCCCCTCAGCTGATAGACCTACTTACTCCTTGAAGACTTATGTAAGTGTGTACACGCACACACTCTCCAGATTAAGCATGGGTGTTTTCTCCTTTTCCCTTTCCTCTTAGGTTAATATAAGGTTATCAATGAAGCATGAAGACATTTAAAGGCACATAAACACTAAACTGTAACATTGCATGCTGCTTGATGAGATGAAATGTCTCAGTGGATCGGAAACTGTATGAACACTGTTGCGAGTGCTTCACTGCTTACTAAATGGCTATAATTACTACTTGATCACATGATTTACTCAACCTTTAATGGTTTGGTTTCATGCAATTTCAAATAAGCGTGAAACATTCAGTGGAAGTGAAAGAAATGTAAAGTGCATTTCTGTCTTTATGGATCATTCACATCTCTATGAATATTTACATAAACTAGTTAAAGCATGATTGCAAATAACACTTGTATTATTTATTCATGCAGCATTAAAGATAAGTGTTAGATTGCACGTTCTATTAAGTACAGCCCCTTTTTTGCAAAAAGACAACATCTGATGTTTTTAATGTGACATAAAGAGAAATATTTAAAAAAAAATAGCCATAAATTATCCAAAATGTAAATCTTTAAAGAAATTATGATCTGTGCTGCTAAGTTGTTGTTGCCTGATAAAATTAAAATGTAATATATGTCACAGAAACAGTGACGTCAGGTGAGTGTAATTGTAAAGTCAACCAGGAGGGGGCAGCTGTTCACCATTTAGCTGTGTGTGTGTGCGGTATCAACACTTGTACTGACAGTAATCACCCCTGCACTTGGAACTGACTACATGTGATGATAGCAGGAGTCAAGAAAAAGAGAAATTGTAAAATTACACAATAAACAAAATCATTTAGAAAGACTTAAATCTTGATGCGGTCATCACCTCGTTCAATGTAAGAGTCCTGTATGTTTGCTATACAATGACAAATCACCTTTTGTGTGAGCTGAGTCATCTAGACAACAGATCTGTTAGGAGCTACAGTAAATGGATGACCGTGACTGTGGGGCACAGGTCATAGGAACAAAAACAAAATACAGCTGTAGCAATAAAACACCCGATCATTGAATTCCAGGGATCTCATTCATCTCCCAGAAAAACAGAGCAGGCAGTACATCATCATGTGCAAAGCTGACACCATATGGAATGTGGTTGTAGACTTGAAATAGAGTCAAGCGGTACACATTTGTCGTGCTGGGCGCAGATGCATTGAAGCCCCCACAGTGTGTGAGTCATAGCTACTGTACACTCACACAA